CGGCAAAAAAGTCAATTAACCGACATTTGATTTCTGACTTCAAACTACCATGACCCCCTGGTTGTCATATTCGACCCCTTTCACAGTACTCACCTTACCTTTTTCTCTACCTTTGTGTCTGTCTGGCTCTTTTACATCTGTGAATCGCTCTTCTGTTCCCCACCCCTCGACTTTCTTCTACTTTGATGAACCTTCCCTCTGTAAAGCCCGAAGTCAGCTAAATGGCTAATGATAGTTATCAAAACGCCTGCCATTTGAAATAAATAAATAAATAAATTTTCGCCATGGCGTTTTTATTGAATGTCATTTCATATCCCATGACAAATATTAAAACAAAAAATCACCCCGGAAGCATTTTAAATGCAAATCTACATATAATCGAAGGGGAAGTTTTGCCAGAGTTTAAGGAGGTATTTATCCCAGAATGTGCTGTCAAGTATAATCAATTCTCTGGGAACCTTCTTCTGTAGCACCTTAGCCCACAAGTATATCACTCGGAGAAATATTTGAGTAACAGTTCGACAAATGTACGGAAGATGGTTCGACAACTCTCTTATCTTAATGCCATTAAGAAAGCATCGCCAAACAGGAACCGAGTATGGATATTCTTTCTATGATTAAAAATAGATCAAATTAGATTAATAAAACACTTGACAAGAAATGATACATAAACTTATCTCCACCGTACATCAATGTAGATTTCAACTATGATTGAAGACTTGGACATTAGTGAAATTGATATGCAATTAGAGAAGAATCGTATATCTTTTAACAATTCATTAGGACAATTGCCAACAGCACTGGCGATTGCGCAGCACTCTTGCGCAAACAACGTGTTAGCCATAATGACAAAGTGTGTGTGGCACCTATGCAGCAATTGAAAGTGAAGTGAATTTTTATTCAAAAAATACATATATATTTATTAGCAATCAGTTCAAATTAAGTTTAAAACTCCAGTGATTTGTACTATTAATATTTACTTATTTTAAATGGCAGGCGTTCTGATAGATGTCATTGGCCCTTTAGCTGACCTCGGTCTTTATAAGGGGGAGGAACATCAAAGTGGGAAAAAGTCGAGAGGGGGAACAGAAGAGTGATTCACAGATGTAAAAGAGACAGAGAGACACAAAGGGATAGGTGAGTATTGTGGAAGCGGTGGAATATAACATACAGTGCGGACATGGCAGTCTGAAGTCAGAAGTCAACTGCCGGTTTATAGACTTTTTGTCGTATGAGTATACGTTGCCCAGGGTGCACNGTGCACCCTGGGCAACGTATACTCATACGGCAAAAAAGTCTATAAACTGGCAGTTGACTTCTGACTTCAAACTACCAAGACCCCACTGCATTTCATATTCGACTAATTTCACAGTACTCACCTCACCTTTTTCTACCTTTGTGTCTGTCTGTCTCTTTTACGTCTGTGAATCATTATTCTGTTTCCCCTCTCGACTTTTTGCCACTTTGGTGTTCCTCTTCCTTTCTGTGAAGCACGAAATCAACCTATCATAACGCCTGCCATTTGAAATGAATAAATAAATAAATTTTTACCTATCTGACTTAAGAAGTGCTTAATATTGTTTGTGACCAATAGCATCGTAGGGTGATGGGAGGCCGACCCTATATTTATTTTTGCTACCCATACAAAGGCTGTCCACAATTCAATCATAACTGATTTCCAACATTTTGCAAGCATTTCCTGACAAATTCCCCATGGGAGAAATTACAGCTTAAAATTCATTATTTGTTAAGTTCTCATATTTTTTTAGATGAGTCTCTATTACCAATGGTAACCAGCCAATTACAAAAATTCTCCAGGAAGTTTTCATGCAAGTTTGAAAGTTTATCTGCTACCCCAATGAAGCATTAAATGGGCTCTAAAGCTGCTTTATAACGTTATGATGACAATCATATATCATATCAAATGAGACATCAAAATTTCCTTTTTTCACATAGAGTCATCACTTCTCCATTTGTCCATTACCAAAAAACCCTTAACAAGATATAATCAGAAACAAAATAAGGCATTTTAATTTGATAGTAAAAAATTTATTAATAATATGAAATCTTAATCTAGTGTACACAGGGCTCTGATTCATTACTTAAATCTCTTTACAGGATAGCAATAAGAAATTCAAAAAAATGTAGAAATAATACGATACATAACATTTGCCATATTCCTCTAATCTTAGTAGCCAATATTTGGTCTAATCCATTCATCGAATTCAACGATTCGGTGTTGATGCTGCTTCGAAGTCAAGCGTCCATACTCTAACCGGAGGGGGTGGTGGTGGATACCCCTCAATCCGACCAGGTGTCTGGAAGCTTCCACTTAGATAACCACTGTCAAATTGTGTTTTCGAGGACGAGAATGGAAGTGGCTTAGCTGGATACACCACCTCTTCCTCCTCCTCCTCGTCCTCCACCATTCTTGGTGGAAATATCGGTGACAGTCTCCCCACCTCTTCGTCGCCTGTCCCTCCAACTCCCTCTTCACGTCTAAACGTTCCCAATGACTGCGTCTCCATCCCGGTGCCACCCGAGTCCAAGTCTGTGCCCACTACCCCACTCTCTGCTACTGACTCCTCTCCTCCTGCCACTCCAACGTATTCCTCCCTCAGAACTCTGTCCAAGTGCTCANTAATATTTACTTATTTTAAATGGCAGGCGTTCTGATAGATGTCATTGGCCCTTTAGCTGACCTCGGTCTTTATAAGGGGGAGGAACATCAAAGTGGGAAAAAGTCGAGAGGGGGAACAGAAGAGTGATTCACAGATGTAAAAGAGACAGAGAGACACAAAGGGATAGGTGAGTATTGTGGAAGCGGTGGAATATAACATACAGTGCGGACATGGCAGTCTGAAGTCAGAAGTCAACTGCCGGTTTATAGACTTTTTGTCGTATGAGTATACGTTGCCCAGGGTGCACTACGTGGAGGTAAGTCTATCGCACATCATACTATTATTGCTATTTTATTTTAATTACACTTGCGATAAAGTTTGATGATGTTTGAGAATATATTTATAGTAAAAGACAGTTGTTTTCCTGTCTCACCTTACATGGTCTTAGTCTGAAACAAATTTCAAACCGTTCAGCTTCCGTGACCAACAATGGGAGGCCTTTTGCACCATGATCGAAACCCTTTGAATATAGATCGAGGTTTGCCTCAAAATTTAAGCATCTACACATCATGCAATCTTTATCTGTGACATGAGATTGTGATCACGTTTAGGCATTTGCGTATCTTATCATGCTAATAGCACTTTTAATGAAAAGCCCATTAATTGTCAACTTCCACACAAATATTAAATATTATTGAGGAATGTACTGAAGGAAAGCCTTCTGGGGATTGGTAGTTAATCCATTACAACAAGGTTGAGACGGAAGATAGGTTGGAACACTTTGGAGGGCAATGTTAACTTTCATTTAAAATGTTGCGAATATATGTAATGGTGATTTACAAAATGTGTTCTGTTGATCAAAGAAGGCATTGCTCAGACGCGAAAAGATTAAGGCAGAGATTTCAATGGCTTTTATTAGAAAGCCCAATCAAAAGCATGATTTTGGCATATCAATCAAGACACCTTGAATAATGTCAATGTCAATTGATGTTTTAAAAAAGTGAATTTTTTCAACATTACCCTAATAATAATAAACCGAGTCCTTCAGAAATCTCAGAACAATTTAGATGACGGCTGGCTCAAAACTAGATTTTCGCGTCAGTGATTACATCTCCAGTCGAGGGCACTATAAAATCAATAATTTAAGGCCAAACCCCACCTCTAAGACTCTGTCTTGTTCGCTGTTTAAGACTCCAATCAAAACTACTAGAAGCATTCGTTTAACAATATGATTTATCTACAGTGACCGCATCTGTTATTTATATATCCAACCCAAAATATTTTGAATTCTGCTAAAGTTCTCCCACCCGACTAGCAGTTTTATCGCGTACGGCTGATGAATTATTACAAACAGATCCACTTGCCTTGATTGAACCAGATGTTCCATATGGACTCTTATTTCGGATATAATTTGTTTTTATTAAAGGCGCAACCATTTCATATGTTTTCTGAATACCCCTCCCCCAAACCGTCATTGGATGGATATTAGCATCTTCAATTTTCATTTTGAATTTACCTCGTATGACAAACCCTAATTGTCATTGAATGCTGCCACCCGTAAGAATCAACTCCCCCCCCCTTCCACAAATATATATATATATATATATATTTGTAGTATTAATTTATTTGTGATCTAGAATTTTAATTTTAACATTTCTCCCATCATCTTTTTATTTATTTATTTTCATTTAGACTTACCTCCACGTGGTGAATCCTTAGCAACGCATAAGTCTATAAACCGGTAGTGGACCCGACTGTATGCCATATTTCTCCACTTCACAGTACTCACCTTACCTATTCTTACCTACCTTTGTGTCTCTCTGTCTCTTTTACATCTGTGAATCATTATTCTGCCACCCCCCCTCTCCTCAACTCGACTTTTTATGACTTTAAAGTTCCTCTCCTCTATGAAGTCCGAAGTCAACTAAAGGGCTAATGAGAACAAACTTAACGCCTGCATCTGACATAAATACATAGAGATGAATACATGCATTCATTATCATGTGAGATGGATAAAATATTTCGTTTAGTTAAGAAAGACTTGCAGGGTGCAATTCGCGATAACTCACATTTTACTGGGCTAAATTTGCTCATTACTGAACATGATTCACCGTGGAAAATATTTCACTGGGTAGCGTGTTTTGTCAAATAGAATTTCCACCTCGAAAGGGGCAACTTGTCAATGCATGTTTGGAGTGTTTAAATATTTTGAGGTCTCGTTTCCAATGTAGATTATTCTTAACAGTAGTCTTTATAACACCTCCTCTTCTGTGCCACCAATCATCTAGATCAGCAAACTTTCAATTTTTAGATATGGAAGCTTCAAGCGTGATTTCTTTCAGGAAATCGGGAGAACACTCCTTAAAATATTACAATAAGGGGTAATATCACCGAACTGGAATTGAAAAATAACTTATGAACTATTTCCTATAGGAAATATATATATATATATATAGTTGATTTGTTATCGAATTTTCTTTTAAAAAATTACTTGATTAGAATTTATCTTTCTTTAATCTCTCTAATTATTAATGTTAATTTGATGGCTGTTCTTAATCAAACTTCCTATAATCTTTTTTCCAAATTTATTGCAAATCATTACACATTTCCTTTTGCTTATCGCACTTTTATTATTTGCCGTATTTTTCAAACAACAAAATTACAACAAGAATTGAAGAAAAGAACGAATTTTTAGTAAAGGGGCTATTTTTATCTCTACTTTTATTATTTCCTGCGATTTCTTGGGCATTTTTCATTGTCTTTGGTGAAAGAAAAGTGGCCGATCTTCTTTTGTTTTGTTGTATCCGATTTCCTTCCTACGAGACTTTGTCATGAGTAATGATTTCTCGCGCTAGCTCACTTGTCAACAATATTTCTACCTAACTTAGGCAGAAGCTGCAGAATTGAGCGCCTTTACGCCTTTGAAACGTGCGATTTTGTGAGCACGCAAATGACTTCTGCCTTCTTATTTTACAACTCACCCGCCTCAACATCTGTAGAGTCAAACAAAACGCTGAATACTGATAGACCTCACCTCGTTAACTCTCCACTTCTTTGTAATCTATTGACAAATGTGCCAATTACTGCATTTTTATTCCCTCGAATGGGACAGTCCGCCTCTAAGATTTTCAAAACCGTGATTATTTATATTTATTCCGAATGGCAGGCATTTTGATAGTCATCATTAGCCCTTAGCTGACTCCAAACTTCACAGAGGGGAGAAACATCAAAGTTCAAGAGGGTGGATCGTAGAGTGATTTGCAGATTTTAACGAGACAGGCACAATGATAGAGATTAGGGTAAGGTGAATACTGTAGAAGTGGTCGACTATGACATACAGTGAGGTGATGGTAGTTTGAAGTCAAAAGTCAACTGCCGAGTAATAGACTTTTGCCGTATGAGTATACGTTGCCCAGTGTGCACCACGTGGAGGTAAGTCTATCACACATCCCAAACCGTGATTATTTAACACATGGGGAGGGCTTGTCAGTATCGATAAGACTTGTTCCTGTCTCACGATGTAAGAAAATGAACATGGTGAGCTTGTGAGGANGATATGATCGGCAAAATTAATGATCATCACTCATTTCTTTATTTTAAATGGCAGGCGTTTTGATAGTTATCATTAGCCACTTAGCTGACTTCGGGCTTCACAGAGAGGAGGAGGAGGAACATCAAAGTGAGAAAAAGTCGTGAGGGGGGTCAGAATAATAATTCACAGATGTAAAAGAGACAGACACACAGACACAAAGCAAAGAAAAGGTAAGATGAGTATTGTGGAATGGGTCGAATATGACATACAGTGGGGTCATGGTAGTTTGAAGTGAGAAGTCAACTACCAGTTAACAGGCTTTTTGCCGTATGAGTATACGTTACCCAGGGTGCACCACGTGGAGGTAAATCCATCGCCCGCCCCTTAATGATCATCATAATAAAGTGTAAGTAAATCATTTCCAAGGAATTTCAATAAAATATAAACTGGCATTTTAAATCGCTGAAAACAAAAACAGTTTTTCTATAAATTTATTTTTATACTTCTGTTTACCTAGAAAGAGAAATTAATCTCACATATAAATGATTAATATTTTGGCTAAATTTAGTCGTAAATTTCGATTAAACCTTGTTACCCTATGGATTTTAATTAGTTTAAACAAAAGTTTGTTTTAATTCAGTCAATTTCTTCTTAACAAATTACTTAAACAGAAATCGTTTAAACATAAACTGTATGGAACTTTACATTGCTTGAGGTCACTAGGATAAGGCCGTTTAATTAAAATAGCAATAAGGATACATTTGCACCTATTTAACTCTTGATCATCATTCATTTTGATTAATTTAATGGCAAAATGCTCACATTCTTAGGACGGTTAATTTAAGACCAAGATATTGCAATTTGGAAATTGATAAGAATTAAATTACTCCAAATTTCAAATCTCCAGCACCTGAAATGGAAACAAAAACTCAATCAATCAGCAACCTCTGAATTTATGTGGATATTGTGTCACTCACAAAATTGTGACTCGAATAATGCCCATTGAACACTGGGGGTGGGGGGGGGGCATTGAAATATGGATGAATCAGTGCTGCAAGTACTAAAATGAAGTAGGTCAATTATCGTCTAGACTTCATTATTTTCTCTTAATGTAACCCTCTCCAATCATTGAACTCTTTAGCTATTTCCATTATTCGAAGGGCTTTAGAATGATTGAAGTCCAAAAGTTATTTAGTTTCATGGGCAAAAAATAATTACGAGGAATAAGAATAGATTAAGGTGTTAGACAACTAACCTGGATTCTTCAAGCATTTGTTTATTGAAAAATGTAATGGGGCTTCTAAGATAACCGCAAATTGGTTTCGTTTCTAGTTTATTTGCCAAATTGGTCTACGCAAAAAGCTATTCCAACTTT